TAAATAATTATTAAATAAAAACTTATTTATTTATTTATTTATTACCGTGCAATTTTTTTTTTTATTTTTTGTGATTATGTTTAAAATATGATTAATAATAATAATAATAATAATTCGGCATCTCACCACTTCTACTCTACCCTTACAATAATAATAATAATTATTCGTTTTCGTAAAAAAAAATAGTAATGATAATAATAATAATAATAATCACCTGTATTTAACTCGTGTTTCGTAATATGTTTTTCACTCACCTTTGACCTTTTCGCTTCCTTCCACTTCCCCACAACCGAATCACACACATAAATAAATTTAAACGAGTGATATTTTGGCGTTGCGTGGAAATTTTTTTTCTTTTTTTTTTTTTTTATTATTTTACGACTTGTAATGTTTTAATAACGTTTACTCGTTTTTTTGTAGAAAAAAAAAAAATTTATTTGAGTCATTTTGTTCGTTTCTACTATTAATGACAGTAAAAAAAAAAAAAAAAAAAAAAAAAAAAAAAAATCTGAAAAAGATTAAAAAATGAGGAAAAAACAAAAAAAAAAATTTAAATGAATGTCCGTGTTCGTCGTCACTCGAGACGCGAAGAGACGACACGAATTCCATTGTTGCCAATAAAAAAAAAAAAAAAAAGATTTTTCTGTATTATTCTCGATTCTTCCATTAATTTTGTGAGAATAAGAGCAAGATTGGCATCCTACAATTACCACATTAAAGTATGCCATCAGTCATATGACTTTTATCGTGCCTTCGCGTCCATTGTTCTTATGAATATTTTTTTTCTACGAGGTGTAAACCCAATCGGTTACACTCAATCATTTTTCACATTTTTTTTATATTTTCCATTTATTGAAAAAGAAAAAAAAATTAAAATATTATGCAAATTCTTTTGCGTATTTTTTCTCTTTTCTTTTTGTAAAAACTCATCGTTATTATTATTATTATTATTAAATTTTTTAAATTAATGTTGAGTGGTGCACCTTTAGAGCTTAACATTAGGGAGAAAAATACAAATATGTATATATTTTGTTGTTTATCGAGTAGTAAATATGAATGAATATGAAAGGAACGTTAAAAGAGTTGACTTATCTTATAATAACCGCATAACTAGTTATAAAAAAACGTATCGTACAAAATCGAAGATGGCAATTTATTTAATGATCAGAAGTAAAGCCACCGCAACACGTAAAATCAGGTAGTAGGTTAAAAAAAAAAAATTACTCTCGGCCTAAAAAATATTGAACAAATTTATTTGCATTAGGTTAGAATGAGAGAGAGAGAGAAAACGTTTTCACGGTAAATAAACCGTAAACATTTATTATTAATTATTTATTTTAGTGTAAAAAAAAATTTTTTTCCAATTACTTTTGCGTGTTTGTAAATGTGAGTGAATTTACTTAACGTATATTAAAAACAAAAAAAAATTATGATATCTTAATTGAATGAAATATTTATTAATAATAATAATGATAATAATGATAATGAGCAAACGTTTTATAATTTTAATGTAAATGTTATAAAATATAAAACCCCCTGAAAAAAAAAAAAGGTTAAGCATTTAATTTTTTTTCCCCTTTATTTAAATTATTTTTATTACTTTAACTAATAAATAATTATATAATTTATACAGTTTAACATTAAATTTTATTATTATTATTACCTGCGTGTGTGTGTGTGTACACGTGAGTAAAACAACTCAAAGATTTTTTTTTTTTTTTTTTTTTTGTAAATTAATTTTATATATAAAAATATGTAATAATAAAGTGCGAATGTAGTCAATTCAAAAAAAAAAAAAATTATTAATTTTTTTTTTGTTAAAATCTTTAAATAAATTTTATTAATATTTAATTATTATTATTATTATTATCATTATTAATAATATCGAAAAGTCGATCTCGTTGATATACAACAAAAGAGTTTTATTTTTTTTGCCAAAATCTATGGGCGTGATTTTTTTTTTTTAAAGAAAAAGAAAATTTTTTTTTTTTTTTTTTGTAAAGTTGTACACCCTTGAACAAAATAAAAATAAAAAATAAAAAATAGTAGGTGGGAGTGTTTTTTTCCTTTCAGTCTTAAAGGCACCTGTGATTATATAGATTTTAAATTGTTTATTTATACGTATAATTACGTTTTTGGAAATAGACTGCCGGGCTGGAGGCAAATTTTTCGTGTTCTAGAAAGAATTCGAGCCAGTTTGAAACATACCTTTTTTCTTTTTAAATATTTATTGAAAAATAATTTTTTTTTTTTTTTTAAAGAAAGAAAGTCGAAACCGAAAAAAATAAAAATTATACATATACATATGTAATTTATTATTTTGACTTCTTCTTCTTATTAGTCATTTCACGTGGATTTTTTATTTTTTTCAACAACAACAACAAAAAAGAAGTTTTTAAAATTTATTGCTAAAAAATTTTACTTTTTAACATTATCATCATTATCATCGATATTATTTAAATTCGAAATGAAAATTTCTAATTGGGGAAAATTTTTACAAATAAAAAAGAAAAGTCATAATATAGAAAATAAATGAATAAATTTTTTTTTCCTTTAAAGTAAAAATAATTTCGAAATATATATGTAATAAATTAATAAAGTAGGAATATTATCATTATCATCGTCGCGGTGATGATGATAATTAAACTTATTAAATATTAATTAATTTAATTTAATTTAATTTTTTTTTCATTTAAACACGTTCGTTCGTTTGTTTTCTTATTCGACTAAACCGTTTTTTGATTAACTTTAAAAAACCGTGAAAATTAATTTTTTACGGGGAATTAGTGATTAAAAACAATCATGTTGGCTGCACTGATTTACGCCACCGTTACTTGTTTATTTATTTATTTTTTTTTTATTAGTGCAAAATTATTTTAATTTTTATATTATTACAATCGCACGCGCGCGCGTTTATTTTTATTTAATTTTTTTTTTAAAGTTATTTTTAAATAATAATAATAATAAATTTTTTTTTAATAAACAAATAAGTATCGTTTATAATAATAATAATAATGCATAAAATGTTACAACGCGTTTTATTTTTTTTTACCGTAAAAATTAATTATTATTTAATTTTTTACACTTGTCAACCATTTTTTTTATTTTTTTTTATTTTTAAATCTTTATTATTTCGTAACGTTGAAAAAAATTATTATTATTATTATTAATAGTAGGGAAAAACTTATTAATTAAAAAAAAAAAAAAAAAAAAGAGTTCAAAGGTAGATTTTGAAACGTTCGACCTTGGGTCGTAGAATCCATTTTGAAAAAAGTAAGAGTTTTATTATGTTTTTTTTTTAAATGCTCCTCATTTAATTTTATTTAATTAAACGAATTTAAATTTTTTTTTTTTCATCTTTCCCCCCCCCCCACCTTGTACTCTTCTCTCTTGTCCCCTCCCTCCCACCACCCATCCCTCCTTAATATATGGTTTGAATTATTTCGATAAAATAATAATTTTTTTTTTTTTTCTTTTTGATATAAAGATTATAATTAATACATAAATAATATTTAATTTATTATTTATAAAAAAAAATTATATATATATAAAGTATAAAGTAGGGGGGGGGGAAAAAATTTTTTTTAGTTAAACGCGTATATAATAAAAAAAAAAAAAGGAAGAAAAATGTTGGTTCGAGGTGGACTTAAGAGGACATTTACCGCCTCCGTTACATGATTCCTCATTACAACATTTTTAAATGTCCGGAGGTAAATTTGAGGCACGAAGATCCCCGATAAAATCGCTGAGTAAAAAAAAAAAAAAAAAAAAAAAAAATTTTTTTTTTTTTTTGACTCCATTTATTTATTCTTTAAGGGGCCGACATTGTTTTGTATTATACATAAAATTCTGGAAATTTTTTTTTTTTTTTTTTTACACCAAGATATAAATATTATTTATGCATGTTTTGTATGTATGTAAGTTGAAAAAACCTTTGGATCTCTTTT